GACATGAGGAGGCCAAGCTGGGGGCTGAGTAAGCTCATGCATCGTAATTCCAGAAATGGTTTTCCATGGAGTGGAAGTGCTGTGAGTGAACAACAGAGTATCTCTGTTGTAGCAAGCCCTACTCTTCAGAGCTTTATCTTTCCAGTGTATCTGCCCTCTCAATAAAGAAAATGGATGAAAACGATACTGATCTTCTACAACTGGGCCCTTACGCAGAGCTCTGTACTTCTCAAAACACTTTCGTTAGGATTATTTCATCTTGCCACCATCCTGTGATTGCAGGGGGCTACTGATGGAGTCCACAAATTCAGTGTCACAATAATCAACTCTTCCTGCCTTCCTTCTCGGCCACACTGTCAGTCTCTTCAGTATTCCTGTCAAATTGACAATTCTGAAATAATTTTCTTTGCGTCTATAATAGCTACCTAGGAAGAGAAAAAACGGAACCCTAAATTCAGTCTAAGTCACAAAAATGGCACTGGGAACAGAAGCTTCTTCCTATTTAGTCTCCATCACTGTCAACTGGCTCATAATTTACATGAAGAATAATAGTTAGAAGAAACTTTTTTAGGCCCCTTAAATCCTAAGGCCTTAGATGCTAATTTTAAAAGACACATGGTTGGAATATAAACCAATGCTGTTTTAATATCCGGTCTTTTGAACAACATATTTATTAAACTTGGACTAACACTCTGAGCTTGTAACTCATTTATAAAAGTTGGTAATTTCATTATTTAATTTCAAATGCCCCTCAAAGAGTCTGCATCAAATTCTAAAATTTCTAGACTACATGGGACATTCCAAGTAAATGACTTCATACTGATATTTGTCGGCATTTTTTTGATCTAACGAAAATCCATATGAAATTTACAGCACTTATTTTTCAACAAAAACATACAAAGACAAATGAAATATTGATAAGTCTCAAAGGAACAGAACAATTTTACTGGTATTGGTGCAGGTAAGAGAAACTGCTGCTAAAGATGGCTAGGATATCCATCTTTGGATAGGACGGATTAAACAAAGAAAAAAGGGAGTAAAAATAATTAGAGCCCTAAGAAACAGAGATGGGGGACAGAAGGCGCTTAGACACAGCATCCACCTTCTCCACTGCAAAGCCACACTCAAGGTCAACTCTTGGCAATGCCTTTTACAATCAGCTTCCACCAAAGAACAAGAAACATACAAGTCTCTGCGAACAGAAGAGTTTTAATAGACTTGAGTTTTATACACTGTGTTTAGCACACATTGCTCAGGTTGGGGTATTGTGGCTAATCTCAGCTTTAATGGCTCACAAGCCAGCAAGAAATGGTATCCTGACTTTCAACTTGGAGAATCATCTCTGTTAAACACCAATGGATAGAACAAGGTAGAGAGAAATACATGTAAAAAAATCAGAAAAAAAATCATCTCTGGAAACTTCCACACCAAAAATTGCTTCTTACCTAGCTCAACCAAACAACAAATAGTTTTCTACTATCTGAGACAGCTGTTCTCTTTGAGCTTTAGGGACGGATGTTCACGTGGCAAAGAGAGAGAAGAGAGACTCGTCCTTGGCAACCAAAATGTGAGTCTCAACCAGATGCTGATGGACGCTGCAGCCTGACATACTCATGTCTCAGAAATCACTGTCGTTTTGCCTGAGTTGAAGCAGTTTTTCTCTAATCAGCACATCAAATACTTAAAAATCCATGGGTTCATAACGATGTTAAGTGGATCACTTTAGTTATCTATTTTCTTAAGTCCAGTGCTTTTCAAAATTTAATGTGCACACAGATTACCTGGTCTTCTGATTAAAATTCAGATTCTGACTTGGTAGATCTGGAGTGGACCTGAGCTTCTGCAATTCTAACAGGTTCCCAGGGGATCTCTAGCCCCACACTGGCACCACACTTTGCACAGCAAGGCAGTAATCCCTGACTGCTTTAGCCTCTTCCACGGTCCTACTTGGGATCACATCTCTGGAGATGATAAGAGGCCCACGGTCTCGACAGGCTGACAGCTGTGTGTCTGCAGCAACACCACACCCAGACTGCCTTTCCTATGCTTTGAGAGTATCATAAGGGTCCTTTTAAAAATAAGCTGAGTAGGCTCGGCGCTTGTAGCTCAGCCGCTAGGGCGCCAGTCACATGCACCCGGAGCTGGTGGGTTTGAACCCAGCCTGGGCCTGCCAATTGGAGGTTGCTATGAGCTGTGATTCCTTGGCACTCTACCGAGGGTGACATAGTGAGACTCTGTCTCAAGAAACAAAAAAGCAGAGTATAAAGATTTTAGTATATATTGTAACAGCTTATATACGACTTAGCTTAGATTTTTTTTCCTTTGTATTCATTTTATTTATATTTATTTATTTATTTAGTTTTTGAGATAGGGTCTTACAATGTTGCCCTGGTTAGAGTGCAGTGGTGTCATCATAGCTTACTACACTCTCAGACTCCTGGCTTGAGTGATCCTCCTGCCTCAGCCTCCTGAGTACCTACCTGGAACTCAGATGTGTGCTACCATGCTCAGATAGTTTTTCTATTTTTTTTCTGGTAGAGGTTTTTTTTTTTTTGGTAGTTCTTGCTTAGGCTGGTCTCAAACTCCTGACTTTGGCCTCCTGAGTGCTAGCATAAAAGGCATGCGCCACTGTGCCCAGCCTTTATGCCTCTTAATTGGAGATAAAATACAAGATAGATACATAAAAGTTTATCATAGCATAAGATAATAAGATAACCAGAGTTCAGAAGTCATTTCCCTCTTGGAAGGAAGAGAAGTTTGTCTGAAAAATTATCCATTTTTAATAGAGGACATAGATTATCAATGGGACGTTTTCAATATTTTCAAGCTCCAGATATAGAATGTGTTACTGCAAACGGAAATGATGGCAGTTGCATTGAGCTACAATAATGTTTGGGTCTGTTGGAAATAGTAAGTCACTAGCAAGTTTACTACTGATTGATCAATTCATTCGTTCATCCATTCACCCAGATACTCAATAAATATTTAGCGAGCACCTCTTACAGTGGAAGATCCAATCTAGGCACTAAAGAGATACAAAGATAAAGCAGCCACAGACCTCGCATTCAACCTTATCACCTAATACACAGGAAAGTTTCTGGTGATATAGGGATAAAGTATAACCCTATGGTAAATAATGTTTTAGAAAACCATTTTAACTGCCCATAAAACTCCTACAGCAGCTCAGGTGCCGCTCTAGCATGGTGGAAAGTGACAGAGATGGGAATTCAATTTGGCATTATTTTTATTAAGTGTTTAAAAGCACAATTTGTATTGTGAAAAACAGATTTGTGCATTTTGAACAACATCCTTCTACATTTGTAGAAAATAAAAGCTTTTGGTTCAAGCTAATAAAAGCTTCACTGACTTTCTTAAATCTAAAGAAAGCTTCCTCTAAGTACTGAAGTTTATTTCCATGGTCTTGGAATTTCTTTTTCAGCAATCCCAGCGTACTATGGCAGGCATTCGACTGGCATCAAAACGGCCCATATGGTACTCTGTATCATTGCCTCAGCGCTGTTCTGTCTAGGCACCAACTCAAAAGGTCTAGAGATATTTTTTTAAAGCTATCTTTATAGCAAAAGTACAGAGGAGCCAACTTGCAGAAGTGCTCATTGGCCTGATATAGGGCAAGTCGAGCATCAGAGAGAACAATGACCGCAAAGGACTGAAAACGCCCCAGAGTGCTAGGGTCCCCACTCACGGGGTGCCTCACTCACCCCCAGGACCTGGCACTGCTCATTTCTGGAGGTTGCAAGGACACCAACTCAGTGCTCTGGGTATTGACAAAAGAAATCATCACGTATTCATCTTATTGTATTTTATTGCAGCCAGAGTCCATGAGGGTAAGACCTTTCCCAAATAGTTTCAATTAATAAATGCAGAAGGGATAACAGAATTAGAAAATCACTGTCTTTTGACCCTAATGAGATACTAGATACAGGCAATAATCTTCGTTGGATGTTAGACCATTAAGGAAAATACCCGACAGGGACATGAACCACGGAGAGGGCCAAACTAATACCGGGCAGGGTCACTAATCCATTTTAACATGATGAACAGTGGGAGGAAGTGTGGGGCACCACATATGAAGCGTTCTTATCTAAAAAATCCGAACTTGAGTATGATCAAGCCTCTAGATATAAATTCCAATTTATAGGAAATAAGGTGAAAGGATAAGTCAAATTACACCCAGGATGTAATCAGCCAAAGTTATTTCTATGACATGGTCGTATTCAAAGTGTGGTTCTTCAACCAGCAGCTTCAGTATCATCTGGGGAAATGTAAGAAATGGAAATTATCAGTCCCGACTGAGGCAGAAACTCTGGAGATGGGGCCCAGCCAGCTGTGTTTTTAAAAACCCTCTAAGTACTTTTGCTACACGCTCGAGTTCAAGAACTGTGGCTTTAAAAAAATTAATACCCTGAAAAATTAAAATACAACAAAAGATACAGGAAGAGCAAAGATGTTAGAGATGTAAAAACAAAAGAAGCACCCGGTGGATTACGCTATCCATATCCTGGCAAATTATTTTAACCAAATTTAAAGATACCCATTGGAGTCATCAGTATGGTGGCAAAAGGAAACATTATATCTACCCAGGCTTTTAATTCATAAGGATCAGTAATTTGATTTTTATAGAAGCTGGAAAGGGGCCATCAACAATGCATCTTTTTTGCTCACATTTCCTCTGTTTTTAGCTCTTCAAATTTAGGCCCCTGAGCTATTTAGGAGAAAAGATTTATCATGGAGAAATTAATAAAACATCTGAAAATGTGACTTACGTTATGTTTATGACAGAAATTAAGAGCTTGAAGTGTTTGCCATAATACACTTTTGATCATTCCATCAGCAACTCTGAGAAAAAAAAAACAAAAAAAGGAAATGAAAACTCCAGGATGGATTTCCAGAAGCAGGGCCCGGGGACAGAAGTGACAGGGCAGGAGCTTATCATAGCCAAAGGACACCGC